TCTTCTGCGCGCTAGGACTGATCACTTTATTTCCTTCACTATAGGTACGCGAATAAAATCAGTGGAGTTGGCCTCCGTACCGGTTTCAAATTCATAGGAGGTAGAAGCCGTGGTAGCCTAATGGTTTGACCTACCGCCTCCCAAGCAGAGGCCGTGGGTTCAAATCCAGGTTCGTACCTCTGAGCTCTCGGAATTTATGTGCGAAATTTTATTTGAAATTTACCATGAGCTTTTCGGTGAAGGAAAACATCGTGATGAAAGCGCATGTAGAAGAAAGTTCGTTACCCTCGGAAGACGTGTGAAGTCTCCAACCCGCATTGGGCCAGTGTGGCGGACTTGGGCCTCAACACTCGTTTGAGAGCCAGAACAGTGCGACTTATGATATACAAATTTCGCAAAATAATGATATTAAACATTAATAACATTTATTTTTTCCTTTTTAGTTTGAGACTCTAGTAGTTATTTATTGTTTTTATTTGTGTTAGTTTTTTGCGTTTTGTTATAGTTTTTAAGTTTTTTTAGTTGTCGTTGTCTTCTACAATGAATTGTAATAACACAAGGAATAATAATAATCTCAGTACAGAGTACTAGAAAAAACTACCTCAAAAGTTCGTGGAATGACATCTATTTGCCAAGTTTTATTGAAATCGGTTACCGGAAAGTGCGCGAAACCGGATTCATCCCCTAATTTACCACCCTTAGAGGTGGAATATTTTCTTCAAATTTAAATGGGATCAATACTGAGATACCCTTTTTCTAACAAAAAAAGAATCATCAAAATCGGTTTATAAGTAATCGCGTAACGTACATACAAAAAAGAATAATATAATGTTTGTACCAGACAGGAGCCTACACTATAGGAAAGTCCTAAATCTTAAGACTCATACATTATCATTGGAAGATGTTCTTGCCGTGATATCATTTTCATAGATAGCCTCTTATCACGAACATAACAACATCGAAGTAAATACATGCGATATCGACTTCCGACAAAATTAATACGTCTCTTAACTTTATCTACATTGGAATATTTTCGCGACAGAATGTCGATTATATTTACTTTAAACTTGATTACTAAAACAAAAAACTTTTCTTCTATGTAACCCTCTTATGAAATTCACACAAAAATATTCGACTTCGCTTACAAATCAATGAAACATGAGAGCTTTGCACTTTGGGCCATTCTTATCCAAAGCGGCATAGATATGAACGTGATCGTTATCGTGAAGAGAACGGGTGCGAGTCGGACGCGGGTCGCGTCGGGACCGCGGCGGGTCGAATTCCGTGTATTTATATGGACGACAAGGCACCGAGCGCGGCGGGCGCGGAGCGGGCACACGTTCTCTTTGTATTTCACACTAAAGTGTTAAATACAAATGTTGGTATTTTCATGATTTGATTTCCGTCTCATAAATAGTCAGATAAATGCACAAATTTTAAAATAATCTTTACAAGTACCGTGTCATGTTTACGTATCAAAATGTAAAAACAAATAGCGAACGACAAAAAACTAATAATGTATAATGTGTATATTGTTTGATAATTATATAATATAATATCGTCGTATATATATATATATATAATATATTATATATATACAGCTTATATATATATATATATATATATATATATATATATATAATTTGAATGTGCGATATTATATGTATTAATACTAGTAGTTAAATCAGTCTATTTTTTAGCAGTGAGAATGACTTGCGGTTCTCGCTGTTTTATTTGAGCGTTCAATCGTGTACGTACCTAATTTTTTAATATAAATTACACATTAATTCAAAATACTCAGACAGGTACGTACGAGGAAGCAAATTGATCTTCCTGCACGTAAAGCTAGCGTTTCTGTAATTAGGTCTATATACAGTCCACACAGTGTCGCTGCCCGAGGCTAGTTTTAAGATCGATCGAGATCCAACAATGGCGCCCCTTTTGCTCGACGCGTGAAGTCGCTTGCACGCGTGGAACTTGGAGATCAACAATTTCTTCAAAAAGTCTCTGCCTAATTTATCGATTGAAAACCTCTGTGCTCGTTGGCACTGCACTAACTTATGTGATTGACACTTAGATGATTGACATCATTCCTGTGTGACAGGAAGCTTATGAGCAAAATAAGGGAAAACGAAGAAATTATTTTGTTTATTATCACCAAGGCGCCCTTTGGTATTTAGCACCTGTAACGGCCGCTTCGTTCGCCCTACGGTAAGGCCGGCCCAGAGTCCACATACTAAAACAAAATGTCGTCACTTGTACAAATTTACCCTTAGTCATCAATTTACCAAAAGGTGCCGTAATGGATTTTCATGGAACACATCGACATTGGTTTGGGCTTACCAAGCAAACAAACAATATATTACTTTCGACTAACTTGGACGTATACAGATTAAAATATTGTAAAAAGAAACTGATTCTGTTGCGGAATTTTAAAGAAATATCTTCTGCTGACATAACGTAACGAACGTTAATGTCTTGTCAAGAAATATATTTAAACAATATCATTGTATATAGAGAAGAAAATATTTTATATCTACAGGATTTTAATGAATGAAGAAAATTTGGCTTATCATTCTTTTGTCGTAAAACCAATATAAAAAAGTCATTGTCAAAATTCAACTATTTAGCTAAAAAGCTTATTACACTAAATGTTTTCTGCTGCGCGGCGCGCGGCGGCCGCGCGAGGTGAGCGCGATGAAATCCGTGTTGAATAAATGCGCCTTTAATCTGTCCCAACAACAACATTTACTACAACACTAGTGACAACCTTTTCAAACAATAATCAAAAACAATAACATAATACGTAGTAAGTATAACCAGCAAATAGCTACCTTTTAACATCCATACTAACCATGAGGGTTTCAGCATAAATAACCCTAAATACGCATTCTGCAGCAATAAAAAAGGCGCACCACGTACCATAATATCATACCGTACCATAGTATCAAAGATACAGCTAGCCACACCCTTTTGCTTTAAGATTAAGTTAAAATGTTTTCAACTGAAGGACTTTGTATTCAGGTCATGTATTAAAAAAAAGATTAACTTAAAGATATATTGCAAAGTAATTTTTCACTTGTCATAGATTTTTTCCATCTTCAATATAAAAGTACGTCAATGTACCCTTACGGAACGGAAGTAAAGTGTATCATCTAATACATAGAAACTAAAAAGTACCTAGTTTTTTAATTTATTTCGAGTGAACTACACAAACTCAAACAGCCAGAGGTAAAAGTTCAATAAGTGAAACAATACAGTTACAATTAAAACTACGCTTGAAAATAATCACAAAAAAAAGATAATTATTTAATATTAAAATAATTCATCAAAGTAAATAATCCTACAGTTTCACAAAGATCTCTGCGCTGCGGAAATTCAATAAAATAAAGTGTGGACCATAATCATATGAAAAATATTACGTTCTAAGGGTCGTATTCCAGAACTCCAATGCTCCCAGAATGCTGAACTTCCAGAATGCTCAAGTCAGGACTTGAATATGATTTCAAGCACTGGAAATACGACCCTAATGGCAAGGACTTGAGTATGTTTTCTTGTGCTTGAAATCATACTCAAATCATGACTTAAGCATTGAGTAGAGTTATGGAATACGACCATAAGACTACGTTAGGTTTTAGTTCCGTGCCTTTTCCGCATAGACGGTGGCGCCATATTATTTTTCCGCGTTTGTTTGTGGAAGGACCATTTTAGTGACGCGACGTAGCACATAAATCGTTAGAAACCGCTCATGATTGCCAAAGATCGCTAATGCGTTTTGTTGCGTTTGAAAAAATACCGCGAAAACTTTAGAATTTTAGTTGTGATTTTGTTGTATAGCGTAAGCGATTTAAATTTCTGTTTTTCTCGCAATCGAAGTGAAAAGTAAAGTTTTCACCTCAAGACTAAAAGCCAATATAAACCCCTGGAGTAATAGACAGCCTACATAGCTAAACTTCGGGTGGCAAACCACCTCGGATATATTATTAGGTATATTGACTTGTTTTAGTCGCTCGATAAAAAATATACTACTACGACATTAAAGAACTTTTTTAATAAAATCATATAATTTAAAACTTACTTTTAAGTTGTTTTATTAAATAAAATAACAAAAATAAAACAAAATTTGTGATATTGTTACCAATAAATGATTTAATTTTACTTATTGATTTCATAATACTTTTTACATAATGACTGTATAGAAATCAACTATCAACTATTGTCTGAAAACGTTCGTGTAAGTTTTATCATAAAAAATCCATATTTTACATTGGATTACCACACTCATGCCAATTGTCAAGATCAATTAAACAAGGTGGTACATACAGATCTTTGACGCTCCCTTTACATTTCTGGCATGGACTGAACACTGATATAAATCAATCCTATAAATAAGTCCATCGTTAAAGAACGCTAAACGGCATCCTCAATTCCCAGAGCTACGTGGTTAACTACGTGGAAATTATTACGAAGTAAATCAAACTATCAAACCACAAAAATCACTTATCGAACGCAACGTACAGTACGTATTTAATTCCCGACAGAACAATTAGGAAATTAACTGTTTCCAAATTGATTCTAATCTAGATATTTTGGATAATTACGTTGCAGCAGAGCTTTAGTAGCTGTAGAGCTCCTTGTGTGTCTAGGGAACTACTGCCACCTTACCTATTTCTGCCGCCAAGCAGTAATGTGACCATTATTGACTTCCGGTTTCGAAGAGTGACGGGCGCAGGGATAATGCCACTCAGATATATGCGATTTAAGGTTGTCACTGCAACTGCTTATGTACAGGCGTGTAGCTTGCCACCAGATGCACGTCTCGTTTGTCCCGTCTCTTGGTATCATAAATAAAACCGTCGCTCCGTAATACGTAATAATCCGTATAATAAAATAATCCGTAATACAAAAAAATTTGTGACTAGAGCCTAAAGTGGGAAAAAACAACGTGATCAAAGGTATTAATGTTTCACTAATAAAAAAGATTGAAATTAAGTACTCACTATTGAGCATAGCTTCGCTCGGCGCAGGGACAACAGGCCGGTCGTCGACTGGCGACTGTTTCTTCTTATTCTTCTTCTCATCGTCTTGCTGCAGAACGAAACAATTATTAACCTCAGACATACACAATAACTATAATCAAAATATTATAAATTAACTGAACAAACAGCTGTGAAATCAGCGCGCTTTCAAAACAATGAACGATTCAATAGGTCTGTAAAAGTATCATTCACGTATTTATCAATTATCGAGCGTTATCAATCGCGATATTTTTATCACACTGTCGACCGCCAAATCAATATAAGAGATTGAATAAAATTGTACATTTAGATATTCAACATTTGATACAATGTACAATTAATATTTTAATGTAGATGCTTCACCATATCTTATGATAGACCAAGTGTCACTTAAGCTACTGCACATATTTTAATGATGTAAACGATGATAGGTATAATTTTCAACAAAACATTTTTCCAATTTAAATGTGACCCCAGTAAACTCTACATACAATCATACGAGTATACAATACATTCATATCTACTCTACACTTTTTCTATATATATTATTGATACAGTTGTGTATCCGATAGATAATTAAGATCTTCTATAAAATAATACATTGCAGAAACATTCTGTTTGAAATAACCAAAGCGTTTCTCTTGCCACTGATAGTGTGTAACGCAATATTTGTCTTTATATACCACTCTTTGTCTTATTTTTGTGGTCAAATGATTTACACATACATAAACGTTGAATTATTTGCGAATGTATACTTATAATTTGAGAATATTTACAAAAATAATACTTTTTAAAGTCTACTCAAATTTTTTTATACCTACGTTACTGATACTGCAGGCCGCCGAGTCGTTTAGAAAACCGCATCTAAGCTCAACTTTTATTTGTCAGCGGGTAAGACTGCGACCTAATAGCGTAGTCTAAATTACGCTTGGCGCAACACCGGAATACGGAAAAAGGAAGTCTTTACCAGACTAACTATCCCGTCTTTTGGTCGTTTTTTGCTTCAGTTATTAACATAAAAGTAGGTACTACCGTCCTATCTAATCGACAAAACAGCATTGCTGTGCTCTGAATTTAAGAGTAGATAGAGCCAGCACATTGAAAAACATTTACTAAGATCTTATATGCCAGGGCTGACATCACTTTTGTATATTTCCTTAATATCGCAAAACCCGATGTGACTGCGGTGCCCCAACACAGTCCACGCATCACTTACTCGTGTGCCCCCGTGCCCTAATAGGTACCTGTAAAAGGGAAGATCTTTACGTGGCCACGGATAGCGCAGTCATGAAGGTAACTTACTATTTAAGTGGATATAGCCCTAAAATAAAAGAAGCATGGACACAGTAAGAAGAAGACGATCGCAAAATTATCAAGTGGCTTTTCCCTGGCTTGTTGTAAGTATAACATTAAAGTAAGAGATAGGTAAATAGAAAAAATACACCTGTGGAAATAATATAATTAGATGCCTGGATGAGATTGACTAGGTTTTCGCGAAGGCTTGTATTTGATTATTATTGGCGCATTTGATTGTTATTGGTACAGTGGAATGTAAAATGTTAAAAAAATTGCCACCCTTGCAGTCACCAGTGTGATGCCAGGTGACTCACTTTTCCCGAGACATCTGATTTCAGAAATTGTAAGCACCGACCCGTATAATCGCTGCGCAAATCGTATTTGGTTGTTTCTGAAGTGTGTGAAGTATTGTATATAGGTATATCATTTATTAAAAAAACTCTCTCCAGTTAAATTTGAACAGAACGAGTAAGTAACAAACAATTTGAATGAATGTAAGCTACAATTATTTTTATTCCTGTATATTAGTAGCTTTAGTCACGTTTTTGTCTTGTTTGATGGAATACGTCGGCTTTACAGAATAGATTTTTTTTTTCTGAAAATCTTCAGTCAGTCGACTAGACTACGATCAGATAAGTAAGAAGATATAGGGCGTTCCAGTAGATTAGAGTCATTACCCTATCTCCTCTTAATTACACAGCACTTCGGTCCTTTTCAGTCTACAAAATAGATATAAAAATATGTGATGGTATTATTAGATATTGCGTGTTGCTTCAATTTGCCCTAAATGAAAATTAACATTATTATTGATTCAAACACAACAGTTACCTTATAAATTTCTCTATGTATTTTTTACAGATAGGATTTGAACGGTTTTTTTGCCGTCATCATCCAAACTAGATATTTTTTTAGAAAACATTTGCAGTTTCTAAATAAATATTTCTAAATAAATTCTTCGTTAGGATTTCTCAAAATGGAAATCAGATTGAATTCGATATTTTTTTTATATTCTAGTGTTAAACGAAATTTTGTGAAATAAAATGCATTTGCAAAGATTATATATGTGAGTAAATTGTAAACTATGACGCGTAATGATGGAAAGGATCCCAAACTTTCGCGCAATGATCAAAGTCATTCCTAATTTGCATTTTGTCATTTGTTCGCTAGCCAAGACAGCGAAATTATTATTGTAAGACCTGTCTTCGATTTGCTTGATGGAACTTTAGAACGTGTGTTTTATAGTGTTATAGCTCATTAGAGCCGTGGCGCTATGATGATTGCCGTGGCATTATTTGCACGTTTGGGTGCTAGTTTAACGCTGTGCCGGTACTCGGGAGAGATGCCAGAGCCATCAGGGCATGAAATTTGGCAGCAAACCCACACTACCGCGCTCTATTTATGATTCTGTACTACTTATAACTACATCTTATAGTTATTCGTGCACTTTCTATTGTAAATGCCTAATTTTATACGCTACAGCAATTCGCATTAAACAAGTTGCGAGAAATTCGGAATATCATCAACATTTTAACGGCAAATTAATGTGCCAGACAATGTCTTTGATTACCTCGTCTCAAACTAAAGAAAATCAAGAGTACCAGAAAAATGAACCTTACTCCGGGGGTCCCAAAATTCAACCTAGAACCAATTTAGAAAAGTTAGTTCCTTAAATCGAACCCGAGACCTCCTCATCTATGAAATTTAACCGTTGAACCATCAAAGTGTGAAACAAAGATGTCTATACATAAGATTGCTTTTGTATACTAATAACATCAACCTGCAATGCATTGTGCGAAAAAACGTAGGCGTAAAATCAATATCTACTCGACTATCATTAGATAGTTCAATTAGTTTGTATGTTGACGATGGTGCGAGACTGAAAGCATAGCGAGTAAACCAGTGGGGCATGGAAATAGCTAGTGTCGCGCTTGGCACGGCGTCAACTCGCGACATGGCCGGTAAACACCTCCGCACTCCAGCTTTATGAAAAAATATGACAGCTCTGTCTGCAAATACCCGCAAAACGCATCGACATTGACGCCGACCAACCGACCGTACGGAAACCAGCTTCAAAGACAGTCCTAAATCAAGTTTATTGTCAAACAAACACTTGGCTGAGGATACATAGCTATAAGTACTTCTATTTGTAGACCGCTAAAATTAATCTATTCCAGTCTTTCAAGGGCGTCAAACATTGGCAGCATTTCTATCGCCTATAAATGTGCTTATAATTAATTTAATGTGAAATATCAAATTAATTAACACATGTCAAATGACTAATTAATACGTGAAGCGTTGACAGCGACATAAAGACGCATTTATCTACATACATTAAAATAAATATGATACAAACGTGGTGCGACCCATGTTACTGAACTTTAAAGAATTTTTATAAAAAACTGTAATCGAACTTTTTGTACGGAAAGTTCAATAATCTCCTATGTTGTGGGTAGTAGTTTAGTAGCTCGTTGTGAAAGAGTTCGTCCAATGCTACCTTACCTATTTCTGCCGCCAAGCAGTAATGTCAGCATTACTGTGTTCCGATTTTGAAGGGTAAGGAAGGGTTCTGGTGAAATTACAGGCACATGGGACTTGGTCAACTTAGATTGCAAATCTTTGCAATTCAAAGCTCTGAGTGGCATTGTAACTGTTACGGACAGGCGTATGTCTTACCATCCGGCGCACGACTTGTTCGTTCGTCCCGTCATTTGAATTAAAAAAAAAAATATTCCCAAGATTCGCACGATACGTTTTTTTATAAGTAATACGAAGTAACGGCACGACAAAAATCGTGCGCCTGGTGGTAAGCGACACGCCCATCCATAACAGTTACAGTGCCACTCAGAGCTTTAAGTCTCAAAGATCTTAGGGACTTACCCTGAGACCTAAGTTGACAAGTCCCATGTGCCTGTAATTTCACCAGCACCCTTATCCTTCCAAACTGGAACGCAGTAATGCCGCTAGGCGGAAGAACTCAGTAAGGCGCTCCGCTTCCACATTTATATGACATAAGGCATTAAAGTGGAATTCCCTGCATGATTTGTTCCCTGTACTCTATAACTTCAGCCTATTTAGGGCGAAAGTGAATTGGCATTTTTTAGGTGTGCATACTCCATCGTCGACCTCATTTCCATCAGGACCCCGATTCAGAACTATTCGATATCTTAACCGAATCGTTAGATTGGATATCGTTCTCGAATCGAAGGGCGCTTTCCGAGCTATTCAGAACATTCGAGTTAAAACGTTCGATTCGGATTTGGATAAGAGGGTCTACTCTCGATCTCCGTCCGACATCCGTCCGAAACAATTACTGTCAAATAAGTAATATTCGATAAAATTAAACGACAAGTGTCAAGTATGAAGCTTCATTCGCATCACGCGTCTTTTCATTTGGTCAAGTATTGCCTATTTGGCAGTAATTGTTTCGGACGGATGTCTGACGGAGATCGAAAGTAGACCCTAAGATATCGTTATCCAACAACGTTTACGGAGTTAGTCGGCGAATAAAAGAAAAGAAAATCCTTTTATATACATGTTTAAGGTTTTTTATTTGTATCGCGTAACATAACGCGATAACTCCGGATTTTTTTGTTGAAAAGAGGGTACTTCAGTAGTGGTCCCATTTAAATTGGAAGAAAATTTTCCACCTCTAAGGGCCTGGGATGAATCCGGGTTCGCGCACTTTCTGGAAACCGAATTCAATAAAACTTTGCAAATAGATGTAATTCCACGAACTTTTGAGGTCAGTTTTTTAGTACTCTGTACTGAGATTATTTGCCGATACGTACCTAACTGAAACTATAAAATATGTATATGTGTGCGTGTGTGTGCGTGTGCGTGTGCGTGTGCGTGTGCGTGTGCGTGTGCCTGTGCGTGTGCGTGTGCGTGTGTGTGTGTGTGTGTGTGTGTGTGTGTGTGTGTGTGTGTGTGTG